AGAAGGCCGCGGCTGGCTGCCTGCTACAGGCGCCGCGCTCTGCCAGGTAGGAGCAGCGCCGGTGAGGGCCGGCCCTGGCCCCTTTCCCTCGCGCGGGCCCGGCGGCTCTGGCGCTCCCCGTCCGCTCCTGAGCTGACCAGCAATGACGCGCGACTCTTCCCGTAGGATGCCGAAACCCAAGGAATTGTCGGGGACGAGCACCTCGGAGAGCGGCCCGGATGAGGAGGAGGGGAAGGTACTGCCACCCCCGGGAGAAGGGAGAGCTGCCAGCAGTTTCCCGGTCGGGCCTCGGTCCCGAGGGCAGGTGACACGCCTTTCCCGCCCGCACCGGGGGGCAGGCAGGGCAGGGGCCCGGCGGCGCCCCTTCTCCCCCCCTACCGGCAGCAGAGGCACCTGGCAGTTGCAGTGCGCCCAGTAGCATGTGTGCCTCGTTCGTGGACCATGAAACTGGTGTGCTGTGGAGGCTCAGGTACAGCCCAGGAGAAGGGCTGTGGCTCCTCAGACTGTGCTGTTCAAACGGGTGATCTCTCTTGCTAGAAAAGAAAGAAAGAAATGTCTTCTAAGTCAGAGAAAAGGCTGAAAACAGAGGCCAAGCCTTCAAATGTGACAGAAAAACCTCCAGGACGAGGCAGTGAAGAGGAGGGCATGTTCCAGGTATGGAGGGCAGAGATCTGCTCTAGGAACACATCTTCCTCCTTCTCTTCATAAAGGTCTCCCATCTACCTCCTCTACTTGTAGCAGAGCATTTTTGCAGCTGAGCTGAATGCCTGGGGTGCCTGCTGTTCCTTCACTAGTTCTCTGGCATGTTGAGTGACCTGACAGGCCTTATGGCCTGAGGAGCAGCTTGTTGCAGGGCTAGGTTTAACGCAGGCTCTGTGTCACCACAGATTGGGAAGATGCGTTATGTCACAGTGTCCTGCTTCAAGGGGAAGGTCCTCGTGGACATCAGGGAGTTCTACACTGACAAGGAGGGCAGCATGAAACCGTGGAGGAAAGGTACAACCGCATTTGCTAGGAGGCAGCCGCGGGCCGCACCGGCCTCTCCGCCTTGGCTGCCAGCTCTCCAGCTCCAGTTTAGCCTGTCTCCCTCGGTGGTAGGGAGACCTGTACATGCCACACTGAGGCACTGTGGAGCTGAGCGAACCACATGGGAGGGTTTAGCACTTTCTCAGCCTGGGTGGCAACAAGTGAAGAAAAGCATGAAGAAAGAGCGTGAGCCTCCAGTGAGATCTGGAGCTTGGCAGGACCGCTCTGAGAAGCAGTGCAGGAAGCTGCTGTGCAGGACTCTGGTTCTACCTCTGATCACCAGTCCTTTCTCTAGCTGTTGACAGGCGCAGAGCTGCAAGGTGGAGGAGGGGAGGCTCAAAACAATGGTTCTGATTTTGCTTCCTTGTGTCCTACTGCTAGCTGACAAACTCGTGTTTTGGTACTGGTGATGCCTAGGGCAAAAAGGTGGCATTTTGTGTGTTTGCCCCTAATCTGTAATGGTGGAGCTGTGCTTGGCAGGGAGAGCCTCGAAATAAATCCATCCTTCCCTATGTAGGTGGGGACAGGAAGGTTAAGACCCTTCTGGATCCCTACCAAGACACTCCAATGCTGCTGTGTTAGGTGTTCCTTATTCTTCTGGCAAGGTGTCTGATGATATGATATAGTGGCACAACTTGGGTGGCCCATCACAGCAGCACTACCTGAGTAGGTGATGCAAGCAGAGGCAGCTGGAGAAGGGAAGACACTTTTTTTTTTTTTTCCCCAGAGCTCTTCAACTGATGAGTCAACACTCAACTTAGGCCTTTGACAGTGACTTGCCAGCTTGCCTCGTAGTTCACAGGCCCTGGACTCTCTTCACCTATCGTGTGTGTTGTGCCTAGCAAAGATTCGGTTAATGTGGGGTTTCTTGAGGAACCTTTTGGTCCTTGCTATAGATTTTTGTGTCAGGGCAGACAAATTTATTCCAGCTTGGTTTGCTTCATAACCACTAAGCATGGTTTTCCTTCCAGAAATTAATTTCCCTCAGAGAGAATTTATACAAATAGAAATTACTCACTTAGAGGGAACTGTGTATCCTGTAATGAAAATGGGAAGCAAAGCCTTCAAGCTTTTTTGCCCCATTGGGGGCAGAAAGGGAAAGGAGCATTGTGGACTCCTTCCAGGCTGGAAGAAGCACACCCATGATGTAAGACAGAAGATCTGCCAGTTAAAACAGAGATCATGAAGAAATGGTTTTTCATTTAAATACTGCCTCTGCTGTTTTTCTCAAGAGTTCTTGGCCCCGATCTTTATCTAGAGAGTTTAATAAAGCTTGGGCCCTAGTTCTTTAATGTGATTCTTAACAAAGCCAAAAGGAACAAGCTGACAACATCTGGCTGGAACCCACACAGCAATTCTACTACCGTGTTTGTTTTGTAAGGGAGAGGGACAGGACATCAAGACCTTATCGCTGCTGGATCTAAAAAGCAGCCAGTTCTTCTCTAGTGTTTAAGCCACACTAGTGATTTCTTGTTAGCAGCAGTTTTTTTTAAATAGAGCTAGAGTTGGCATTATTTCCTTTGGGCAGTTGAAAGGATGGTGTCTTAACTGCTGTGTGGAGTAAGGTTCTCCTAAAACTTCTTCCCAGTTCATGTGGGTGGGCATTTGTATTAGGGAATAGGCTATAAGGGGCTGTGGGACTCTTGAAAGGCAATTTGAGCTTATATTCTCATATGGTGCTTCTGTGATAGCACTGAGAACTTCTTGATATGGATGCTGAAGTGCTGGCACAACTGCCATGCTTAGAAGGCTGCTTCTGTTTCTGGTCTGTGCCTCTGCCTCAGATTCCAACTTTCCCTTCTGTAGCTAGTCCTAAGGAGTCAATCTGGTGTGCTACTTGATGCTTACCCCTTGTCTCCTCTGAAACCTCTCCTTCTGCTGTTTCTAGGGATTGCCCTGTCTGCAGAACAGTGGAACCAGCTGAAGGAGATCATTCCTGAGATCGATGCTGCAGCCAAGAAATTATAAGACTAAGAATCTTGGACACCTTCAATCTGTTCCCTTTCCCTTAAGTGCACAGACAACTATAAAGCCAAGGATTCTCATCTGGAGCCTTCCCTTCACCTTGCTGGGGTTTCCTCACTGAGGTGGTGGTCATGCTGAAAGGACCAGAGACTCTTCTATTTTCAAGAAGTAGCTTGCAGTGAGCACCTGGAACTAGAGCCAGTGCTATGAAGAGCACCTCTGGTCTCAAGCAGACATGACCCCAGCCTGGCTTTCCAGGGGTGGATGGCTTCAGTCTACCTTGTGGAGTGCTTTAACTGCTCTTCATCTGTTACCGTCTTCTACTTGGTTGACTGTTGAGTAAGATGGTTTGTATACTTCATGTTGGCATCCTCTGTGTTTCCTCCATGTGTCATTCTGGCTATTTTAAGTACTTTCTGTGTTGGTGAGGGTTGTTTGGTGTTTCCTGGGGTTTTTTGGGTGGTTTTTGAGTGAAGAAAGGGATTATATTTCAGCAACTGGTTTGTCTACAGAGGGTGAATATGCACAATAAATGTGTTTGCATTATAAAAAGGAGAAGCATAGTGTTTCACAGGCTGGCACCTCAACTCTTTGTTTCAGGCACCCTTCTTGGTAGGTTGCTGTTGGATTTCCTTTTCAGAAGGAGAGTGCTCCGTAGTTTATTCTCATGATATGTTCCCAATAATCCTGCTATACAGAAGCAGTCAGACAGCGGTCTACTTCAGGTCATGGGAAGGGCAAGCTAGAATGTGAATCATTCAAAGGAACTGGTAATTAGGAGGCCTGTTAAGTAGAGGGGAAATTAAACGCCTAAGGAGGAAAAAGAATATTTCTTTCCCTGTGGCCGCAGGGAAAATGACAAGCTATGGAAAGAGAAAGAGAGAGGATATTTTATACTTGAGCTCTAAATGGATCCCACTCTGGGATCAGCTGCAGCAAGCACAGCCTTCCTCGGCAAGACTTTTCCAGAATTTTCAACAGCTTGTGTCTTCCGTCTATTTTTGGTTTTTCTCTTGCCCTGGTTTCCATAGTATCTGAATGCTTCATGCTCTTAAATATATCTGACACTTTCAACACCGTGGTGAAGTAGGAGGTACTAAGGCCCTTGTTCTATAGAGGTGCTGGGGCTGTAACAGCTCAGGGTTGTGTGGAAGATGTGGGGTGGAGCAGTGAATTGAAACTAGGCTTTCCTAAATGCTGAATTTGTAACTGCTGGATTAACCTTTCACTAGGGTAGCAGGAGAAAAAAAAAATTCTTCATAAAACTGTCTCTTAAAGAAATTTTGAAGGGCTCAGTGCTGTAGCTGCTTGGAGCAGGGGTGGAGATGGGTAGACTTGATGACTGAGGCATTCTCTTCTAATCCTGTGTTCAGCTACTCTCTATTCGTCACATTTTTTTCTCTCAAGTGAGAGAGAGCACGAGGATACTAGACTGTGTCCTGAAGGCAGGTTGCTCATGATGTAAGCTTATTCCCTGTGGAATATTTATAACATAATGTCTTAATACAGTGTTCAGAGACTAAAGGTAATGGGAAGATAAAAAACTTACAAAAAAGAAAGAGATGAAAGAGAAGCAGATGGTGTACATATGAACCCAAGATGCTAGGGATGCTGAGTCCTTTTATTTTGTCCCAGCCCTGGGGTATCCAGACTAAAGCATGTGACAGGAACAACTATCTCTGTGCATGATGTATGTTTCAGGAGTGTTTGGGGGGCAGAGGGAGAAGCCAGATCAAATCAGCAGAGCTTAAAATCTTTGATTAAAAACAGGTCCAAACTGAACTTCAGCAGCTCAGTTGAATATTGCACAGTTCTAGAGCTGATGAGTGGCCTCCCCTTAATTGGGAAAGGAGGGCCACGTTCCATTGTTTTCTGACTAGCTTTCTTTCAAGTGTTGGAAGGAAGTTTGCAAACAGCCCAAACTTTTGGAAGGAAGTTTGCAAACAGCCCAAACTTTTTTTTTAACAGGCAACAAGGCCTTTTTTTTTTTTTTTTTTTTTTTTTAAAATCCTGAAAGAACAGCTGTTCTTGATCAGAAAGATATCTGGAATCTTTGATGTTCATTTCCGATCTACCCACTGTTATAGACAACTTCCAGTCATAAAATCTACAAGCCTTAAAACTTAGTTAATTTCTGGTTTGTTGCAACATTAAAATATTAAAAAACCCTAATCTTAAATTGGGTGGGATAACAGATATCCAATGAAAGGTAAACAGCAAGGTCTTGGTAAACAAAAGAGGATGAAAGCTTGTAGCAAGTTATACTCTTTTACACAGGGTGTTTTTCTCTTAAACTGTTAATCTGGTTGTTTTGGAGCAGTTTTCTCTGCAGAACGTTTTGCTCCAGACCAGAAGGAATCACATTACAGGAATGAACTTTCATCTTCTTGAAATACTATATTGTTGCTTGGATATTTTCTGCCATGACTGTCTTAACTAGTCCTTTGGCTTTTCTGCCCAGGGACCAAATAGGTAAGCGAAGGCAGATTGTTTTGAAGGATCCTTGAAAGATTCCCCCCCCCCCCCGCTCTTAGGCACCCCTTTTCTGGGCCGTTGTGAGGATTTCCTGCCTCAAGTGCTGTCTCCTAGGTGACGTGGAAATTCAGAGCTCCGGCTTGTATTTTCTCCATTCCTCGGTGCCTATAGGAGCTGGAAGGAAAGGGTAGGCACTCCTAATGCAAAGTGTATCTTGCTGTTCCTGCATCCTTTGTTTGAGCCCTTCTTAAATTTGGGCCACTGGACTGGACCTCTTCACCTTTTATCTTAAGCTGCCCCTGTCTAAATCCAAACACTCATATGCCACAAGAAGCCAGGGAAGTATAGATGTGTTTAAAGAAAACACCTTGGGTTTTTTCACTAGCAAATATCTCTCTGCAGAAGAGAAACCGCCTGGGCACACAACGTGGTTTTCTTTTAACAGGTTTTTTTTTTTTGAAGCAGTGTCTCAGGTTTGGTCAGAATCTGTTCCTTCATCCTCTGGGAATCATGCATCTGAGCTCTGCTGTGCCCCTTCTAGCTCTCCCTTGCAGCCTCCTCAGTGACAGATGCAACATGTTTCTTCTTCATCTGCAAAGGTGACCTATCATTTCCCCTTTTCACTCTCTCTTGGTGCTATGACTATCTTTTATCTACCCCTTAATCCTGTTACTGTGGTATATAATTCTCTGTCTGGCTCTGTAAACTCTTTCCAGGTGCTGATTGACAGCTGTTCTATTTTTCATTTACCAGCAGTATTTTCATGTCTATTTTTCTCTACTGCAGTCAGAGTGATTATAATATATCCATTCATGGACTCCAAAAGATACTGGATATATCTTTCCTTCTAAATAGACATTTTCTACCTGAGGCACTGGGTCCTGCAAGCTGTAACATAAGCCTAGAGCAGCTTGTGCTGCAGCAGCTGACGAGAAAAAGCAGGCTAGGCATGGAATGGTGATTGAAAACTTTACTTGCTTAGCCATGATTCATCCAAGGTGAGGTTTGCTGCTGTTGTCATAAAGGTCTCTTGTTTTTAAGATTGCCTTATCTGTTTGCAGCTGTTAAAAATGAGAACAGCTTGACTTGTCATAGGTTTCCTAGCTGATGCATCTATGGCTTCCGAATAGATGGCAGAACCCTGGCAGTGTCTGCAAGAGATGTAAACAGAAAGTTTGACCAGTGTGGGGATTTCTGTTTTTTTTTTTTTTTTTTAGGGTGAATTTTAGGAGTGGTACCACTCCTAAAAGCTGAGGCTCTTTATGAGTCCATTTCAGTGAAAAGCCTGGATGGAAATTCCAGGCTCTTGCACCTGCTGGCCCTGAAAAAGTGGTCTGGCAGCTCCATACACAGGGGGGGACAATAGCCAGGGCTGGAGAAAGAAGTGTACAGAACTGTAGCTTGGAGAATGGCTGAGATTGTCTGCTGAGCACAAGAGAGAAGAGGAATGAATCCACAGTGCTTTCCTACTGAGGGGCAGCATGTGCCTCTGGTTCTGCAGGGGCATCTGTCATTCTTGCCATGACTTTAGCCTGGGAGCCAGGTGGGTGCTCATACATGAACAGTGAACAGTACTCTCAGTTCATCCCTCTGCTTCCTAGGATTAGGACCCCTCTTCTTCCCCTGGTAACCCACCCCCTTTTTCCTAACCTTTCCTGCACAGATATCAGCATTGAAACCTGCTGAAAGTATCTCCTGTTGTAGGGGCCTGGAGTCAGCCCTTTACCTTTCTAGGTAAAATCAAGTATAACAGATCTGAGTAGTATTTGAGCAAGTGCACTGGGAGGTGAGCTGTGTGAGCTAGTATGTGGGGCACTGTGGGGAGAGGGCAGGAAGGAGGAGGGGACTTGGGGAGCAGGCAAGAGGGCAGTCTGCTGAATTGAGCTGCTGTGGGTATGTGTGTTGGATAGCAGGATCCCCTCCTCCACTTGCTGCCTCCGTCTGTCTGCAGGATCCAGGGCAAGAGCAGTGGGAGATGGCAGAAAGCTCCTAGCGGAGAGACTAAGCAAGGGGAAGAGAGGCCGGGTTGTGCCTGCACCGCAGTCCTTTGTAAAGCCTCAGGCCTAGCACGCTCAGCAGAGCTGAACACCTGGCTCTGCCAAAGCTCTCTCTGCAAACAATCCAGCAAACACGCCCCATCCCTCCTCCCAGCACGGGGGCGCAGAAGTTCATTCATCTTCAGGGACACTGGGGCAGGATGACAGGCTAAAATGTATGGTGTGACGACAAGAGCTGTGCATGCTGCAGAGGAAATGCCCTGTGGGATATGCAGGGCTGTGGGCGGCAGACCTGGGTTGGGCTGTGTCCCTGCAGCTGCGCTGCTGAGGGCAGCTGCTCCTTGTGGAGCATGAACTTTGGTTGTGCTGTGCCTCAGCATCACCCTGGTGTAACACAGGGGAGCAGAGAGATGAGACAGCCTGGGCCACCTGGACTGTGCTGCTCAGAGCACTGACATCCCCTGCTGCCTCACGTCATCTGTCAGAACTGGAGAACCTGGTGGGAGAGCAATCCATATCCTCGCATGAGGAGTCAGATCTGACTCTGGTAGCAATAATGGCTGCTTCAACGTGGACATGCGACCAGCTTCTGACCACCTGGCACAGTCTGAATGGGACCTAGCTGGAAATGCCTCTGTTAGAAGGGAGCTGAGCTGCTCAAAAGAAAGGGGGCTTTGCCCTCAAGGGCCTAGGACAGAGAGACCTAGCCAGGGTTGTAGACCCAGGGCCGCGTATCGCTTCCCATTGCAGCTAAGCCCCTTCCAGGACCAGTGTGGCTGTGGTCACTGCCCTGTTGCAATTTCTTCACTTTGGGGGAGGGCTGTGTTTGTTAGAAAATTTTCTGCTTTAAATAATTTCTTTTCGTCCAGACCCTGGTGCTGAGGCACTGAGAAAAAGGGGCCAAACACTGATTTCTGATAAGGATGTGGAAGGGCACTCTGCCTTGTCTTTTGTTAGCAGTACAAGAACAAGCTCTTATTTCAGAAGAAGCTCTAATGCCTAATTTCCTGACAGCTGATGACAATTTGTCCTGATATAAGTACCAGGTCCTACAAATAATACCTCCCACCCCTGCTGGCTACATGGGGTCTATTCGTGGGTGCTTAGGGCTCTCCCCCTTGCTCCCAGGGCCTCAGTGTTTCTGGAACGTAGGCCCTAAAAATATGCCTCTTCTCTTGCCTGAGAAAGACAGGCCTTGTGTCTCCTTCTCGGCCCTCAGGATGCAGTCAAAGCTGCCTTGCTTCCTCGTCCGTGGCTGCAAGCGCTTTCGTGGCTCTCCTCGCCAAGGGGGCCCTCTCTTGGGGGTCCCCCTCTTGTGGCACCCCGCCCCTCCCTTGGGCCCCCGCGCCCCGCCTTGGCCCC